GTGCGTGGAATACGGGGCTTCAAGAAAACAGTGCCATTTAGGTCGTTTTCACGACCTTCGAGCTTCTTGGATCCGTCTGGTGGCAACAGACAGACTCGTCCTTTCTTGCTTCTCGCTCCTCTAAGGATGTTGATGGCAACCTTGTCAAGCCTGGGACTGCTGTACGGAGCGCCCACGACGGTTTTCGTGCCTGGGCTTCATGCACGAGTTCGATGTACTCGTAGGAAGCTGTAGGGCTTGGCAACTGAGGTCGTGTTCAAGAGCTCCAAGGCGGTTTTCATGGCCATCATGTCCGTCGTCATCTTAGGGTGCCTTGCCGAAGCCAGAGCAGGAGGAGGCCGTAGCCGCCCCGCCGTAGGCGTAGAAAGAGAGAGAGAGAGAGAGAGCTCACGCCGTGCGCCGCGGGGCCGCGATGTGTTGCAACCCAGGCGCAGGCTGAATGCTCCGCAGTGGCGGACTTGGTTTCAGGTGAAGCGTGTATCCGTTCTTTCATGGCAGCAGCTTGGAACTGTTGAAACTCAAGGTGGTGTTCCCTTCTGGTCATCTCCGCTGCTCTGCTGCTCTCAACAGTAGCCGAAGGCACCCCGGCCTCTACATTCGAAGGGCTTGGCAAGAGGCCTGGCGTGCGCACACACGACAGAGCCATTGCATTGTTGCGTTAGCTGTTAACCTCTTGAATCAGCAGAACGTCTCTGCACTAGCACACAGGGAAGTCTCTTAAGAAGATGTGCTGATGAAGCACAACCTGCGAAACACGAGGACGCGGGACGCTGACCGGAAACGAGGAGGTTCTGTTTCCAGATCGTGGTGTTGGCAAGGAAGGGGCAGAGGAACACCTACTCCATAAAAGGGAGGACCGTCCAAATTTCAAAGTATTAGGAAACCCCGAATGCTGCCCAACGGTGAAAAATGAACGAATCGTAGAGAAGGATGAGGGCTGCGCAAGTGCCCAAATGACTTCGGGATATTTTTCACGGATGCTAACGAAAAGAGCGAAGGGCAGCATGCCTAAAAGCCTGATGCCTAGAAGATGGAAGCCCAAAGCAGAATGAACGCGATGAGGGCACAATCGCGAGAAAATCAGGACAGATTGAAGGAGATGGCAAGGAGACAGGTGCGGGTGGCGAGAACTTCCTGTCGATGTGGTTCGATTGTCCTCTGTCCTCCGAGGTAAGGGTGGAAAGAAGAAAGGGGAGCAGGAGCTCAATCTGGAAGGTCCCATGCACCTTGGCAGGAACAAGGCATGGCTTCCTAGATTCTCCATGACGTGGCGACGTCGTACAAGGCTCTTGCTGCTATCTGAACTCTGCCACGCGATGATGCTAATCTTCCAGGACAAGCTGCTTTCTTAGGCCGGCACAGGGTAGAGAAAGCCTGGCTAAAAGCAAGACCAAGCCCAAGACCGCCCGTTCTGACACAGTTCGTCTTGGTACTGACAAGAAGAAGTTTCCGCGTTTTTGGCATCGTCGGGTCCGAATATCCACCCGCTGAACTAGCAGAAAGCACTAGAAAGCCCACTCGGCAGTCAAGCCAACCCGCTTCACAAGCTGTGAGAAGACCAAACAAAGCCCCAGGCAGCAGTCGCATGCTCCCAGTCTTGTCGAATTTGGACACGACTGGCAGCATGCGCCTACTGCCCGAGGCTTTGTTTCAATAGTGATATATTCTGCTTTATTCCATACTAAACCTTGCTCACGCGTTTCAAAGCGGCCAGTCAGACCCGGCAATCGCGACACTTCTCCAAAGCCCACCAGAAAGACTGGAGAGATTGCGAAAAGATTAGGCCGTTGGAAAGAGCACAACCATACTGTACCTGGCTGCATATTTGCATCCTGCAGGAGATTGCTGTTCGCCGATATTGGCCCAACCCAGTCAGCTTGCTCAGCTGGTCTGTGGCTGGGCTCGAAGCAATGGCAACACAGTTAAGAGTCTTAAATTAGACACATTAATCTTGTAGCTAAAGTGGCTTGCTTTGGGCTGTCTAAGACGGCGCTTGAGCCTTGCTAGAAACGTTTAGCTCGTGTCCCAGGCGAGCTTTGGGGTCTTCCTCACGGCTTGCAACTTGGCAGACGAGACCTCTCCCCCTCTCCCTCTCTCTCTCTCTCTCTGTGCGACTAGTGCCTTTGGTTCCTGAGAGGTTCCATGTACAAGTCCCGCAGCATCTTCGTAGATCTTCCAGACGGAGGGCGCCGTCCCTTCGATGATCCCTACGAGCCATGAGCTGCAACACAGTCACGCAAGAACGTGAGTTTCGCAACAGGCTTCCTGATTCAAGATTTGCCCTTTGTGCCCACACCAGGACGTGCTATACATGATGTCTACCAGCCCTGCACTCGCCTTCTGCCTCATCCTCAACGTCTCATCGCATTTGACTTCGGACGCACCTTGGCCTGCAGAATTTGGGCACCAGGAGGAGAGTGGCTGCAGCTTCCACAAAGGTGGCCCACATCATGATCCTGAAGCACATCTCTGCGCTGGCGCGAACGCTATGCGACACGCTCAAGATGATCCTCATGCGTCTCATCTGGGTTTTTGATGGCAATCTTCGTCCCGTTCAAAAGTTCTCTGGTTCACGATTGCAGTGATACAGCGAATAGAATGCTGCTCCTGAAGTCTTTCAGCCACCGAAGACAATTAAGCAAAGGATGGAGGTAGCAAGAAAATCAGAAAACACGATCGGAAGTTTCGGGCAAGATTACTTGTACTGATGCTAGGACGCTTCCACCACATGGATGCCACCTGCGCTGAGCATGTGACATCGTCGAGCAGCATGATTCTGCATAGACAATACATGAGTGCATGCATGCGTCGCAAAACGGACATGTCAGAGAGTGAGAAGGGACACGTCGGATGGACCGCACTTCGGCCACATTCTCACCAAAACTCCGTGACATCACAGAGAGCACGAACCCCGAGCCGGAAGCCAATCGTGATCATCGCTCTGCACTTGCGCAATCCAAAGCGATGCTGACCTGGTGCTGATTGACGCTTCTGCTGCTGCTGCTGGTGGTGGTGAGTAGTGAGCGGTGCAGCCGCTCTCGTTGCTGCATCGTACCTCCGTTCAATCAGCGAACTAGCCCTGGGCCACGGCAGTCGTGCCGATAGAAGCTGGGCTGGTCTTTGCAGGCTTCTGTTCCTTCACTTGTCGGGCACCGTGCCTAGTTTTCCGCGTTTGGCAAAGCTCTAAGTTTAAACGCTGTGAAAGGTGGCTGCTGGGAAAGTGCTTTTGGTTTCTGGCGATTCTCCCACCTTTGGCCGAGCCATGGCAGCTTGACAAAACCTCTTTCTCTTGTCGCGAAGAGTTCTTTCAGCCATACCGCTCAGGCACCCTGGCCTTTTGGGCTCCTGGCTAATGATCCCAGCAATCGGAGCTGCGCGGGCCCTTTCGGAATGTTGCATTCGGCTCACTCGAAATCGGAAGACGCCAGTGTCTGAACGGATAAGTATGCTCGAGTTGCCAAGGTGGTTTATGGCATGCTCATGTTCAAGAACGCTGTTTATGTGACTTGCTCGAACATGATCTTCAGGTTTAAGCCACGCATTCGATGAGTTTGGTTGGTTGGTTATTTCCTAAGTCGCCCAGTCAATCAACGAGTCGCGAATGCGAGGTGCCTTTGATCTATGCCAAAGACGAGGATGGTGTGTGGCGCATTCAGGAGCTGCAGACTCCACTACTCAAGCTTACAGTGACGTGTGGCTTGAAAGCTTGTCTAGCTCACAGGAGGTGCGGGAGGAGCTCACCGATGAGGACGCAGCAGAGGTTGAAGAAGTCGTCGCCAACATGGATGTGACTCAGCCAGCACGGCTAAGCCTGTAAGCACGCAAGGCGTTACTGGGACTGGCACGGAAGCTGTTGCCGATTCGCTGCTGTGGCCGAGGATCCCTTCTTCATGGAAGCATTCCGATCGCAAAAACTGAAGAAGAGGACAAACCTGGCAGACCCCAGTTTTCCGCGGGAGCTGCAACTTGACACGCCGTGAGGAATCGACGCCTCCTCAACAAGCTGAAGGCTAAGAACCTCATGTCCAAGCTGAGGGGTCGCCTGGCTGAACTTCGGAACTGCGGAATCACTGCACATCACTGCACACTGCACACTGCCAGAAGCGCCGAGGCGCAGCCAACAAGCTGAGAACCCTGAGCGGCTCAACCTGAGCCGATAATTCAGAGGCCCAAGGTCAAAGTAGGGCCGGGACAAAGCGGGCGCCTTGCAATCGCCCACAGCCGCTCCACGCAGCTGCTCCAATGCACCTGTCGCTTGAAAACTTGGCAAGAGCTTGAAGGCTGCATCCGAGGCCGGTGTTTGCATGCGCGATCTATGGGAAACTTCTGTTGTTTCGTACATGTCAGCCAGACGGTCGAGCGGTGTGCTTTGCAGCTTCGTGCTTTGCCCTTTCACTGTCCGGTCGGTGCGGTCCACTTGTTGTTTCCTGCTTCGCTGAGACTTCACAGCCCTCAACACGCAGCACCTGCAATCTGCGCAGCTTGTCGTTATTGTTTTGCTCATCCATGCCTGTCAAGTAAATTTTAACGTCCATTTTTTGCTACAGATCCCCCTGTCGGTGCTTTCTGATGACCCCGACTGGTGCAGCGCGACGTCTCTCCCACCCTGGTGCACTGGCGCGCGCACGCGCGGTCGGGTTCTCGCCGGACTCGTTACCCGAAGCATCCACTGCCAGATTGAAGCATCCAAAGTCTCACTGTAGTCAGTATCAGCTTGACTTGAGCTTGGAAGTGCTCACAACTGCTTTCTCCAACGGTCACCGTGGAGTGTCTCATGGGGTCGAGGTTGCCGGTAGTTCGCACGAACCGAACGATGTCTTCTTGGAATGACAAGCCATGTTCTTGTCTTATTGCGATACCGGATGACTTGTGCTCTATGAGCTCATGATGATGGCATCCTTGCCGGTTGTTCTTGTCAGCCTCTCCCGTCCTGCTGCACGTCTGTGCCTCACTGATTTTGCGAATGGCTATAGGCTATAGATCGTTTTCCTGTTCCGCAGGTGCTGGAGGACGAGCGCATGTGTGTGCAGATCGTATGGAGGCGATCAGCAGCTTTGCGTGTCACCGAGACCCCAAACTCCCCGACTTAGTGCGCAGGGCAATGTTTCCTTAGTGACGCCACTTTGTTCAGCTTAAGCTCTGAGGCCCCCTGCCGCCAATTTCATCATTGGTTATCTTGGCTCGAATGTGCGACAAGCACTGTTACTGCCTCGCTGCCCCGAAATTGAATCATCCTTGTCTTGCCATACACTCCGGGCGACGTAATGCTCGCATGTGCTACATACAGTATGCATGCTAGACAACTGGCATAGACAGACATGGAGTTGCCAAACAACTAACGGAACATGGTAACGTTGTTTCGAGAGCTTCCTTAACTGCAAACACTAGATATGCACCGAGCGTTACTCACACATGCGCATTGCAGCGAGCCATGTGCATCCTGGTGGTGGCTGTAGGTTGCCATCCATCCCTCCCTTTCGAGCCTCAGCTGCTAATGCTGCCTTGCAGAAGTTGCCACTCCTGAACGGTTGTGAAGCTTCTGACGTTGTTGCCGCATGTTGCTAGCGAAGAGGGAAAGGGAAGCATTCAACCTGGCAACAGAAAGGGGCCAGGATCAGTGTCCTTGGATTGGCTCAATCACGTGGGTGTATCTAAGTGTCGATCTTGGGCGTGATTCCTGGGATACTAGCGTTAAAGTCTCTACTTCTTGGATCTTCATGGTGAAATCTTCGCAGGTTCTGTTTTCCAAAGTATCCGTGGCACATACCTGAATATGCTCCCTTGCTCCTTGGCTTCGTCTGAGATCTGTGCTCACAACCGCGACGAGCAGCGTGACCGTCCGAGCCGCGACATCGCTGCAAAGATGAGCTCTGGACGTCTGGAAGGCATGTTCATCACTTCTTCACATAGTTTCTTGCGCTTCGACTCAGGTGATGACAGCTTGGAGGAGGACACCCAGCTTCTTTGCGGTCGGGACATCCAGGCTTGGATGTTCTCCGCGCAAAAGAAAGAGCACTGGTGTTGATATGAACCTTTGGAGCTCGCTTCAAAACACTGCCGGCGCATGAACAAAGACTGTCGAGCAGCTTTGCAAGTTTCCTGAGGCCGGTGGAACAGTGCTGGGCCTCCATGCTGTGAGCGGTGGCTTCGCGGCGCTGACGAACTGCGCGGGGTCCCGGGTGGTCCAACTTGAAGTCACGACTGAAGCAAGCAGGAGCTGTTCTAAATTCGGGTGCCTTGTGCGGACTGCCAAGAAATCTATCATGCCGGATAGGCTTAATGAGGAATCACCAGCTATGCCAAGCTCCCAGGTCGCACCACGGTGAAGTGGCCCGAAGATCAGCGCACATCCCGAGGACTAGCTTGACCACGGGTACGGGGCGAGTCGATCTGTAAGCAAAGCAGCCATGGTAACCCGACATCCCATGGGAGACTCCCAACATCACCGCCTTGCACTGCAGCCTGTGAACTGGGGGCCGAAGAACGCCGCTTCGACCGGGGTCGAGGTCAACAAAGAGCCTTACTGATCGCCGCAGCCGTTGTGGGGCTCGGGTTGTAACGTGGGTTGCTTCGGAGATCGGCCAACAGTAAGCGGAGATTCTAACGGAAAGATATGGACCTGGGTGCGACCCACCAAAGATGGAACTACCCCCTCAGCACGGTGGTGGGGTGGCAACTCCTGCATTTAATGTATATAGCGCCTTGGAATGTTATTTCGTTTGTTATGTTATTTCGTTTGTTAGTGCTTGTGTGCTGTGTAGGCAGGAGGCTAACGGTAGTATGAAGGGGTAGGAAGCCAAACATGGAGCGAGGGTCTCCCTGGGGGGACAATCCATGCTAAGCTTCCAGCCAACAATGCCCCAAGCTTCCAGTCAACAATGCCCCCCGTTTGTAATTGACTTCTGGCTACTGCACGGGTCACGAGTGCGGTGGCGTTTGAGGATGTTGGAGTGTGCAGACTATACACTCGTACTTGCAAGTTACAGGAACAGAGGGAGTGATTACCAATGAGAGGAACCCAACCAAACTGGATGGCTTATGTATGGAAGTCGCGACATACAAAATTGGTTTATGTGCGCCTTGGGAACATCGGTGGAAAGGGGAAGGCCAGCTCACTGTTTCTTCTATTTCTCAGGCATTGATGTTGATGCTGCGAGGCTATATCTCTGTTGAACGCGATATGCTACGGGGCGTGGTGAGACGCGGATCAGGTATGTGAGTATGGCAGCGGACGCCTGATGCATATCCGGTTGCACATTAATGGATTTTTTTAGTATGATTTCTAGTAACACCCCCCACATTCAGATGCTCGGACGAGGAAAATGGATTTCTGTACGATGGTAAGATGTTGGATGCTGTGACGCGCAAAGGTGAGCTGGTAATTCTGGGTGGTTGTCAAGTGTGAGTGGGTTTGGCGAGTGATGATTGCCAAGTCTGGCGGTGATGCTCCTTCGGTGTGAGACATGTTCGGCATTCACGGGCTACCAATTCAGCGCGATGATAGTGTCAGACTCGTGGACTTCCGTGACAGTCGCAACGGCACAGCTGACAGGCCTTAGAGCAAGGCACTATCAATTCCGTGTTGCCCTTGCATATCGCCATCGCCCAACCCCCCGCACCACGCTACAATCTACAACGATCTTTTCTACAAACCTAACGATTCGTGCATATTATTATGCATAATATTAACTAATCCCCTTCGTTCATTCCTAAATTCTCTATGTGCTTCTTGGTTTTGTTATGTCG